CGAAAGGGGCGGGGTGTGTTGTGGATCGAGTGATGAGAGAGGGGAATGTAAAATGTCAATGCAATCCTCCTTGCTCTCCCCCCTCCTTGTTCTCCCCCCCTTTCCCCCCCTTTCGTGTGTGGTTCGTCTTTCCCCCCCTTTCCCCCCTTCATACACACCTGCATGCGCTGCGCCTCCCTGGCCACCTCCTCCTGCCACTGCCGCTGCCTCTCAGCCGCCAGCCGGGCCTCCTCCTCCTGACGAGCCCTGGCCTCCGACACCCTGCGAAGGAAGGGGGAGAGGGGAGGAAGGGGGGGAGGGAAGGGTGTGCGAAGAGGGTGTTGTGTTCGTTCTGCAACGCCGTACCCCATCCTTGGCAAGCCGTAACCCATCTTTTCCCCCTCTCCCCCCCATCACCTCTTGGCCGCCTCCTCCTCCAGCCGCCTCCTCTCCTCCTCCAGATAGGCCTTACGTCGGGATCGGAGCTCGGTGCCCAGCTGCCTACCCTCCGCCTGACGATCCTGGGTAGGGTACGACCAGGGTACGGCCCCGGGGCCGGGGCGGTTGAAAGGTAGAGGCAGGCACACATACACACGGACAACCAAACAAACAAACACTTGCCCGCCTACACCGCTCGACTTCCCGTTTCAAAAGAGGTGCACGCGGATGTCCCCCCCCCTTCTTTCACAAACACAAACTCTCTCATACTCATCCCCACCCTTATTCCCCCCCGCATGCATACATACATACATACATACACATAAGCAGCCCACGCAAAACCCCTCGTAAGGCCTATTGCCGTACACACCTGCAATGCCTGCAAGTCCAGTCTCTCCTCATCCGCCCGCTGGCGGCTCATGCGGATCGCGAGCAGCAGCGCAGCAGCCAGAGCCCAGCCGCCAACACTGCTGCCGCCAAGAAACACGGCGGCGCCAGGGGGGAAGCCGCTGGCGGCAGCGTACGGCAGTGGCGCCGGCGTCGGCGGTACGACGGCAAGGGGGGCCGTCAGGGAAGCCTGGCGGGAGGAGGGGGGTGACGAAGGGCGGGCGGGGCGGGGAATGAGGAGAGGAGGTTGTAAACATATCGACTCGGTTATATCAGTTGCAAATCAGTTGCAAATCGGAGAGCCACGAGGCGCAACCCGAAACGGACATCATGTCGCTCATGTTCCCCTCCTCGCCCCACCTTCAACTGCCTGGCCACCCGTGTCCCTCCCTTCCCTCCCTTACACATACACACACGTATACATACATACATACATACATACATACATATATACATACATACATACATACATACATACATACACATACATACACACATACATACACACATACATACACACATACATACACACATACATACATACATACACACGCAGTTGGCTCTCCAGGTCCTTGTCGGGACTTTTGCCGGGACCTGCTTCTCAGAGCCGTGGACATCAGGGCAGAACCGCTCCTCAACAGCGGGGTGGATGCCGTACGGTATCACCCCCTTACCTGATGCTGTACAGCAGCTTCCCGGGCCGGTAGTGTCGCCACCTCAGCTGCTGTACTCCCGACTCCGAGCGCGGTCGCTAACGGCGCCGCCGCCGCCTCCGCCACCGCCACCGCCGGTCCTCCCGGGGCCGCCGTCGCACTCGGCCGGCCAGCCAGCCGCGCGTCAGGACCAGCCCCGCCGCCGCGTTCCTCCGTCTCTGTCTCGTACACCGTCTCGTACTCCTCTACGTACTCGGACTGTACGGCGTCTCTTTTCTTCTGGCCTTCAGGCGCCTCTTTCCCGGCGGACGTCCCCAGAGTCGTGTCGGTCCGAGCTGTGTTTTGGGGCCCCCCATCGGCCCCGAGTGCCGCTTGTTCCAGGTGTGGTGATGTCCCACCCACATCCGCCGTACTGCTGCTACTGCGGTCACCACCGCCGCCATCCGTCGTTGCTTTGGCTGCTGTAACGGGGCGTCCGGTTCCCCGCGCTCGCTGACTGACTGGCGCAGCAGGAGCGGCTGCAGCCCGGGGCCAGCTGGCCCTGCTGCAGCGGCCGTTGTCAGTGCCGCAGGGGCAGCTGAAGGGCGAGGGGCTGCTGGAGGAGAAGGTAGCATGGATGTGAAGACACATGCGGGATTGCGTGGCATGCCGCCGCCGAGGCGGTAAGCAAGGGATGCCGCAAACCCAGGTGGATGGGCGCTCGGCTATCAGGGGGCATGACGTAGTTGATGGTACCAGCATGGTCGTGATAAACGTAATTGCCTGTTCGAGGTAGACGAAGGCGGCTGCAAACCTTAGGCAGCCATCAGTGTGTTTGCCGTGGAAAGATCATCAAGCGTAGGCCTGTAATGAAGTACATCTCCTCGCGAACAGCTAAATTGGGGAGAAGCACCCGTAATTTAACATGGCTGACATTGTTCTGTCTAAAGGTAATCGCAAGACCACATCCCGGAACAATAGGTTACGCGTCCGGGCAAGCCGGGCACACAAAATTTCATTTAAAGAGCATTTCCTAACCATAAGGTTGTTGAAATGGAACTTGGAAGGATTACGTGCCGCATGACATGGAAATACAACTAACTGGTGGACGAGACAACATGACGTATGACCCGGACGAAATCCCTCATCCGGTTACCTGGTTATGGTGGAATTCTTCACCACTACCTGCGATGGGGCTACGTCATAGCCGTCAAGTGTATGCATGGCGCCTATCAAGGTGTATTACTGAACACAAAGTCATTAAAAAAACCACCAACACCAAGATTTTCAATGCCCGATATCAGACTGCACATGCTTTTGGACCACACTATCTCGTACATTAACTAGCGACGCTGTGCCGCAAGCTTACGTCCTCGTCGCTATGCTTCGCACTCCTGACGCATCTTCTGCAGGCTCCGCGCTCACCCTCATGACTTCGCACCGCACACTTTATCACGCAGCGCCGACGCAGCGGCTCTGTAGGAAGTGTCTGCCTGGTCTAGGGCTCGCCTTCCGTCATGCCGGCTCTGCACGCACCCAGGCGCCGCACGTCAAATGTAATGCAGCTGCTATTACCTACACTCTTCAACCAGAAGCGGTCGCCGGAGTGGGTGGCCATAGCAACATCACCGCGAAGCCAGCTACAACCGCAAATCTCAATCACAACAGCAACACCAGCGCCGGCCAGGGCGCCTCTCCATCTGTGATCGCTTCCACTGCTGCAGCTGTGGCGGCCAAGTTTCCCGCGGTCCCGGTGCTTCCGAACCCCCCCGAAAGCGGAAGCCTGCAAGACGTCGTGCCGTACCTGTGAGTCCTCACCACCATCACCAACTGCGTGCACGTATCCTTTCAGGGCCCCTCACTCGCAACTCCCCCAGGCCGCCCTCCCGCGTATCCCAGGTGTTCATATTCCCCAATCTAGCCCCCAAACCTGGGGGGCCACAAAGCTAAGTTCTTCTTCTTGGACCATTTTTTTTTCAAACCACCACCACCAACCGAAACTTTCTGGGGTTATGACCTCGTGTGTGGCAGCCCGGGTTTCATGTGGCCCCTTTGGGTCCTGGTCTGGTCTTGGTGCGTCCTGGGCCCTGTCGTATTCCTTCCTTCCGTGACAAGTACCACCCAAGACACCACACATACGCAAGCAGACAGACAGACAGACAGACAGACAGGCAGACAGCTAGTTCCCTTCCCGCGTCCTCTCCACTATGACCCCCCCTTTCATGGTCCTCTTCATACACACACATACATACATACGCACACACACCCGCAGGCTGCGGCTGGCCCTCCAGGAGCGGCACCTGGCCTGGCGGCTGGCGGCTGCCGTGTGCTGTATGGTGGTGGCCAAACTGGCCGGTGAGGGGGACGGGGGGGAGGGGGGGAGGGGGGAGGGGGGTTACAGGGAGGGAGTATGGCTCAGAGGGAGCTGCGGGTGGAGGAGGGGGTGAGGGGGGTCCTCGTGTTTGTTCCACCACACGGGCCACCCGGCGGCGGCACTCGTGACCTTAGACCAGACCAGATCAATGAGATCATGATGAACATGATGAACAGATCATGATGACAATGACAAACCAGGTCAGGCCCCTGTGCTGTTCTTTGCTGTTACTCGGGCGCCCTTGGTGTTGTTGTATTGTTGTTGTTGGTGGTGGTGGTGGTTGGGGTGGTGGTGGTTGGGGGCAGGCAGGTTGGAACGGCCCTGAGGTGGGGCTGAGGGCTCGCGGGCTCTATCACTTCTCTCAGGCCCCACTGGTACTTGGGGGGGCATTGTTCTCCCTCCTAAGGGGGGAGCGGGCTGCATACCAGCATCAGCTGGGCTGTAGCTGTAGCAGTAACTTAGCGGCAGTAGCGTGTGGGTGCATTACATCGCGACATGTCCCTACGGCACCGTGCGTATGTATGTATGTTACGTACACATGGGGGTCAGCTCGGGGGGTTGGGGGTTGTGTAGCTGTGCGAGTGAGCCCCTGTGGCTGCCGTATCTGACACGGTTTCGCCCCTCCCCCTCCCCCGCCCCGCCCCGCCCCGCCCCTCAAAGGGGTCTCTCTCAGTCCCCCCTCCCCTCCCCCTCCCCCCCCACCACTGCCACCGCCAAGCCCGTGTGTTTGGCGCCGCGTGTCAAACCGTAGCATTCCCCCCCCGCCCCCCGCCCCCCGCCCCCCGAAAACAACCTCATGACACATTAGCGGCCCCGCTGTATCCGTACGACAGGTATCTCCTTGCCCCTGGTATTCAAGAGCGCTGTGGATGCGATGTCGGTGAGTTCGGGCGGGTGAGGGGGGTGAGGGGGGCGGAGCCACCTAGGGTTTGGGGGATTGGGGATACGAATACTTTGGTGTTGTTGGTGGTGCTGTTGTTTATGAAGGTTGAGGGATTGGGGGAGGGGCGGCCCCCACTACCAC